AAGCAACTCCCAGATGGAACCCATGGTCATGATGAAGCGGGGCAGCGTGTTGCCAGCATCCGTTGTTGAGGAGTCATCGCACCCCTCCCCGAGAAGCCCTTGCTCCACTGTATCTTCGTGTGCATGTGCATCCCCTGCAGGAGATCTTGACGTCTGCCGCCGCCGCCAGCGCCGAGGCACCCAACCGAGCTCTCAAGAGGCGTGTGCGGCAGCGTCTGCACAAGAAGCTCGGGTCCATGTTCCGTGGATGCTCTTAAGACGTGAGATTTGTTTGGCAGGTTGCTTGGGGGTTCAGTACATGTCGGAAGGATGCTTTTGGGATGTGAGTTTGGGGGAGGTTCGAGTCTGTTGGGTCCATGTGGCATTGCTGTTCCAATCAGCAGAATTGCTTTTGTGCGGAACGATAGAAGCTGTTGGCAGAAGCATCCGAGGTTGACGGCGGAAGAGTTTGAGAAGGCCATGAACCGCTACAGCGCGATGGAAGAGGAGGCCAGCAATCTCTCGCAGGCATCGGCTTCTCCGTCCAGCAACGAGTCCGAGTCACCATGCGCGGCGATGTTGCCAAACCTTTCCGCCGGAAATTCCCCCAACATGTGCCCAACCGGCAACGCTCCGCAGACCTTCATTGCAGTGCCCATGATGATGCCGCTAGTGACCACCATGCCGGTTCATCAGCCCCAGCCCATGCAGCCCGTGCAGCAGGCAATGGGACAGATGCAGCCGATGCAGCCCATGCTGCAGCCCATACAACCTGTGCAGCCCATGGGACCTATGCAGCCCATGGGACCCATCATGCAGCCTTTGCGTCCTGCCCAGCCCATGCAAGCCATGCAGGCGCAGCCCATGCCAGTCATGCAGGCAATGCAGGCGCAGCCTATGCCTGCGCCGGCCATGATGCAGCTCCTGAGTACTGATGCCCCAGCTCCGTCCCCTAAGTCCCAGAATATGCAAGTCGACGAGGTCTCCGAGGACATCTCACAGACAGCCTCAACCATCGCGGACGACAACGGTGACGACGATGACGATGACCTGGAGAGCATCAGCGAGCTGAGCACGGAGTGGGCTCGTGCAGTATCTCAGGGATCTTCGGAATTTCCGGTGGAGCGCACTTTCATTCAGTTCCACACCCGGGTGTCTGGTTCGCACCGACGATCGCGGTCCGTGTAGGGCCCGCGGGGGGCCCAGACACCTGATCATCCGAGGTCACCTGCGCCGCGGAAGTT